GTTGCAGTGTTCCCTTTTACAACTTTTTTTTTTTGCAAGCGAAGACAATGGGGAAGCCAGATTTACTTAACAACATTTTGACTAATTTAACAATTACAGTGATTCATTTAACAATGGTGGCAAGAAAGTTTGTAAAATGGGCAAACTCGCTTAACAGATGTCTCAGCAACAGAAATTTGGGGTCAATTGTGGTTGAAAGTCGAGGAATATTTATATACGGGGTGGGATTCAAATTTTTTAACAACCGGTTCTGTGGTCATGACTTGGTGGTCATGTTATTGGCTGGGCGTGGCCAATTCAATATCACTCACATCGAGGCACGCATCTCCTCGCCTGGCATCCATGACTGGGGATGCTGCAACAGTCGTAAGTGTGAAAAATGGTCATAAGACACTTTTTTCAGTGTCATTGTAACTTTGAATGGTCACTCCACACAAGCAAAGTACCAGCAAAGGAGGGGGAAAAAAACTCCAGAAAAGTTCCTGAGACAGGAAGTCTAGTCCTGCCAAGAATGTAATAAGGGTTAACGGAGAGACAGTTTCTGTAAGCAACACCAGAATGTTTCCTTCCTGCCTTCCTTACAGGATTAGGGCAGTAATTTCTTCTAACAACCGGTTCTCTAAACTGCTTAGAATGTTAACAACTGGTTCTAGCGAATAGGTGCGAACTGGTAGAATCCCACCCCAGTGTATTTAAAGAGTTGAGTGATTTTTTTAAAAAAGTAAATTGCTTTGAGCTCCTGGAAAAAATGTAGGATTAACTGGTTGGGGTTCTTTTAAATATATTGTTGAGTAATATGGACTCCAGTGGGTCTCCAGTGGAGCCATGCAGCAGTTTAAGATTGTTAAAATGCTCTATTTCAAGTCACAAATAATAACTCTTGGTTTTCTCTTCATTTTTCTGTCTTACTTGCTCCTATTTTACTTGTTCTTCAACCAAATGCTTGTATCCAATTTTACTGCTGCTTCTAAATTTTAACTCTACAAGTAGGCTGATATTTAGCAACAAAGCTAAAGATATATTTGAATCAGATACCAGCTTTTAGAATAGTTCATATTTCTCCTTCTGTGCCTTTATTGAAGGAGCTGTCTGTTACACAAATAGCTCTTAGCAACCTCTTCCTCCTTCAGACCGGTTGCTAATTACAGCTATGTTTCCATAGCCAAGGGTAATTTTATACCCATAGGATCAGTTTTCTCTATTTTATATATCTGTGTAGCTATAACACAGTATTTGCTTTTTCCTTAAAATGTTATTCATGTGAAACACATTGCTAGTTGCAATTATAACATGACTATGATTTTATTTGTGCAGCATTAAATATATGGTGTTCAGGAAAGTAGTATCAAAATGAGGCTGTATTTTGCAGCGTTTCTTGTGCCATCTCCTTTCCTCTGGGAACCAACATTTGCACCTGGATTCCTGAGGATGAAGTACTTTGTTTAGCTTTCTGAACAGTAATTGTTCTGCCAATGTCACATTTTTTAGTGTGCTTTTATTTTTCTTATTTTGAAGATATATTTGGAAACTCGGGTTGTGTATTGCATATTGATTCTTACACTGGTCTGGTTGATCAGTAGTCTGTTTTCTTTCTGAAGCAGCATTAACATATATTTTTAGACAAACAATAATATGGTTGGCTTGTATGTTCGGAACATTTAGTGTGTCATGCCTTATGCAACACACAAGTTTATTGTTATGGCTGTGATCCTGTTGAGCAAGTTTTGCTACAGACTTCAGGAAATATAAATAAGAGAAATGTGGACCATTATTGTATATTATACAGAGTTCTCTAATGCTATACTCTGATTATGTATTGTAGCAGTTTTTTTAAGACCAGATGCATACTGGAACGATGGATGGTTGGCCCGTTTAAGTTATTTTTAGTTTACAGTTGCTCTGCCCAAATCATTTTTAAGCCATTTTAGGAGAGAATAGGAAATGTGAAGAGCCTTTTTTATTTTATTGTCACTTGGGCACTTGGGTTAAAAAATGTTTGAGTGATATGATTTTGTGCTTGTGTCATTGAAGCAGACTACCTTAATTCTAATACCAAAAAGAAAGAGAAGAATAAACTAGAAGGAAATATGAAAGGAAGTACTGTAGTAATATTCTATTCTAGAGCAAGAATTGCTTTTGTAATGGTGTTTTGCCACCTGTGTATAGCTAACTAAGATGCTGGCTGACAACAGAGTGATATGCTAGAACAGGGGTGTCAAACTCACATCGTCATGGTGGTAAAATGTGACGTATCGGGATTTTTTCCCCCTCTTCGCTGAACCAGGCATGGGCGTGGCCAGCACATGACAGCCCTATGCTAGAACATTATTTTAGCATTTAAATAAACATAGAAGCTTATTTAAGAGACACTGTGACATTTAACCTTATAAACTTCAAAAGTCTTTTTCCCGCTATGTATTCTAAATGGTCTATGATTAATATGTGTGTGTGTGTGTGTGTGTGTATCTGTGTGTGCATGACACGTGTGTTTGTGTGTATAGTTTTGGGAGTGGGAATCAGAATTTCATTTTTTAATGTGTGCCTGTATATTCACAGAAAAATGTGACAATAAAGGTTATCTTATCGTTATAGATAATCTTGTAGGAAAGATATATTTATTTGCTTCAATGAAGTGACATAGTTAGAAGAAGGCTTTTGAGCATCAGCTGATTCTTATCTAAGAGATCTGTGGTATTTGATTCTGGTCAGACTTCATTTGCAGGAAGAATACATTGATATTGCCTTAAGAGATGATTATACTGTTATCCAAGTCTAAGCGTCTAGAGCAAGGGTCTGCAACCTTAAACAATCAAAGAGCCATTTTGACCCATTTTCCACAGAAAAGAAAACACCAGGAGTCACAAAACCTGGGGGGCATGGCCAACTCAATATCACTCACTCCCACCAGTCACATGACCCTCTCAGCCACGCCTACCCAGGTTTTGTGGCTTCTCTGTCTCTCTTTCCTCTCTTTCTCTCCTCCCTCCCTCTCTCTCTTCCTCTCTATCTCTCTGCCTCCCTCTCTTTCTCCCTCTCTCATCTCTCTTTCTCTCTCTTTCCTCTCTCTCTTTCTCTCTCTTTCATCTTTCTCGCCCATCTTTCTCCCTCTCTCTTTTTCCTTCTCATCTCTCTTTCTTTCTCTCTCATCTCTTTCTCCCTCTTTCTCCCTCTCTTTAATTTCTCTCTTTCTCCCTTTTTCTCATCCCCCTCTCTCATCCCTCTCTTTCTTCCTCATCTCTCTTTCTCCCTCTCTCCTCTCTCTTGTGTGTGTGTGTGTGTGTCTGTGTGTCTGTGTCTGTGTTCCCTCTTGAACCATTTCCAAACACAAGGGTTGGGGGTGGGTGGGTTGGCTGATGTTATTGGGATTTTTGGGGGCTGATGTTCTTTCTTCTTCTTTATTATTTGATTTAAATCAAGAGACATTTCAGGTTCCCAGATAAATGAAGCTCTTTTGTCCCCCTCATGTGGCTTCCTTTTGGCTGAACCCACCACTGGCAGGCACCGCCCCTCCCCTTCCCTTTCTCTTCTTGTTTGCCCTGAGAAGCTAAGGTGATGGTGGCTGATGGAGACTCCTTCCATATTCCAGAGTGGGAGTGAAGTGCCCCTCTACTTCCTCTTCTTCTGCCCTTGTTGGTGTTGTGCGCACCTCAGTCACTTGGGGAGGCATGCAACTTTCTCTCCACTCCGAGACACTGGTCTGGTTTGGCTATGGCTGACACCACTGCTCTCGCCATCTCCATGGCCTGTTTACTACTCTTGCAGCACTTTGCACAGCACACTTAAATTTAGAGCATTTCACAATGGGGGAGATGGTGTTCCCTCCTCTTCCTGGAGCCCATTATGATGCATAGCATCATCTGCAGCTGGGCCGGGCTGGGCGTCTCCCTGAGCGACTGAGGTGCACATAGCACCAACAAAGGCCGGAAGAAGAGGCAAGTAGAGGGGTGGTTCACTCCCATCTTGGAATACGGAGCAAGTCTCCATCCGCCGCCATTGCCTTTACCTTCTCAGGTGAGAAGTGACTGCGAGGGAAGGGTGAGAGGCAGGGCCACCAGTGGTGGGATCATCTGATAGGGAGCCACAGGAGAGGGCTCAAAGAACCGTATGTGGCTCTCGAGCCGCAGGTTGCCAAGCCCCAGTCTATAGCATGCGTGACCAAGCTCTTGGCTTGCCTAGGCTGTATTGAGTGAAGAGGAATTGTCCTGGGCCACATTTAAAATATACAATATAGTTAGTGTATATAACTCACACAATAATATTAAATGATTACAATCTTGTGGGGTTACATTACTAGCTGTCCAGAGCCATATGTGACAGGGGGCTGGGCCCACATGCTATAGAGCAGGGGTGTCAAACTCTAGGCTTGGTTGCTGGATCTGGCCCGCAGGCCCGCCCTGGAAAAAAATGAAGGACTAGCCCGCAGTGCCTCTGCCAGCAAAAATGGAGCTCAGGATGGCTGTGCACGGCCGTCCAAGCTCCATTTTTGCTGGCAGAGGGCTGCAGGAGGCCATCGCAGCCGAAAACAGAACCTGGGTGGCCACATGCGCCCCTCTTGAGCTCTGTTTTTTCTGGCAGAGGGCTAGCAAAACAAACTACTAGCAAAAGTGCATTTGATCACAAGGTAAGGAGGCATGGAGAAATTCCTCCCCTGGAGACAGTGGATCCACCCAGCCCTACCTGGGCCATCATGTGGGGCTGGCCAAGCCCTCTCCAGCCATGCCCTCCCAGCTCCTGAGATCAAACACAACCCTGAGGTGGCCCTCAATGAAATTCAGTTTGATACCCCTGTTCTAGAGGATCAATTCCATAAGGGTTATATTATATACCTTATTGGGAAATTATAACTATTAAATTTAACGGGCAATAAGATTGTGAGAAATATGGTGTCCAGAAATAAGTTTCTAGGAAGAAACTTTCTTGGAAGAAAGGGAAAGAGTATTTGCTGAATAATGTCAGCTACAGGAACAGGGACTAAAATGTATTTGCAATTGTCTTTACAGCGTGTCTTCAATGACCTCAGTGGCTCAGTGTCCCTTTCCTGGATTGGAGATAGCACTGGGGTAAGTAATAACATTGGTTGAGCAGATATTTTAAGTATTCAGACGGAGCAAAAGTATAATATATGAAATAGTTCCAAGCAGTGACTGGTTTCATACTTTCAAATAAAGATGCTTTTGCCTTAACCTTCCCACATAAAAAAGAATTACAGTATTTTTGCCTGGTGGGTGATAAGAAGTTATTCTCTACAGCTGCAAGCTATTCTAGTTCTTCTTTTAAATATTGCCATCTTTCTCATGAACAAAGAACTATTGTGGGTGTTTTGTTGTGTAAGTGAAGTGACACACAGGTTTGGTAAGTAACATCTATCTACCCATTCAGGGTTGTGGTGATAATTGCTTCAGTGATGAAGCCTTGTTGATGTGGAGAAAAAACCCACATATTTCTTAATATCCTCCACAGACCTGTTGCTTGTTTATCTCACGCTGAAAGAGAATGCTGCAATTCGAGCATTTTTTATTTGTATAATTTTGACAATCCTTAGACACAATTAAGGTTATCCATTGTACAGTGTAGGGCAGGTGACAATAGTTGGAAGGATCATATAAATTGTCAGCTGACTTCATGGAGAGTTGGATTTAATCCAGCATATTGAGAGAGGAATTAGGAAGAATCACATATGTTTTTCTAGTTCTTCCTTTTAAACCAGGAACAAAAAGAGACACCGGGCAAGTATGCAGTAGCAGCTGATGTAATTTTGCCAACTTCCTTTTCTTTCTTTCAAAGATAATAGAATCTTAATGTAGTTTTTTTCTGTTTGCTTCTCATACTCCTTTATTTAAACTACTAACAGTATCAATAGCTAGGCCAACATTTATCTGCAACTAAAAAGCAGACACTTCCAATTCATAATGTGTTAAGATTGGGAATGTTTTTTTTTGAGGGGGGGGGGGAGAAGAAGGGACAAAATATCAAATTCTAAACATATTTATTAATGTCTTAGTCTCATCAGTATACAATCCAGGTATTTACACCGTTTCAATAATCAAAAGGCAAGTGGACATTCCAGAAAAAAACGCACATTTTAAAAAAGATTGCCAGTCAGATATTTTATACTTAGACAAGTGGATTATCATATATTAGATCTGATACATTTCAAAGCTATATCAATATTTTTTTAAACTAACAGTCTCCTGACAGTTTAAGTTCCACTTTTGATTAAAGACTTGCATTTCTAATGAATAGCTAGAAATAAGGGAGAAAATTTGTTCCTATTGTGATATTGTATACCAAATAACTTAATATACTATAGCACAATTTGGAGTCTAATGATAGCTACATTTGATACTATTCCGTAAAGTTCTATCTAGAGAATTAACTTGACACATTATTTTATTTTGTTATGAGGACTTAAATAAATTATCCTTCCTTCAGCAAATAAAAGGAGAAATAGGTGATGGTTTAGGATAGGAACTTAAGCATTAGATAACTGAAATAACAAGGAGAAGATTTTTTTTCATAAGATGATCTAATATAATAGCAAACTGTAATATATAACATCTAATTTTTGAAATGAACATGAAATTATTTCTAGGGAATTATTCAGCTGTCTGTATAAGTTCTATTTGCTTGATCTACCTTTTGAATAGTCATACTATGAGTATGCTGAAATGTGGCTGAAACCAGTTCAACCTGATAGAAACCAATTGTTAGCCAGATCCCTTTTATTATCTTTTCTATGTTGCATCTATTATAGTAATTAAACTCTATTAAAATAGTTAAATAACATTCAGACAAGGTTTCTTTCTTGGACTAATCTGAGCTAAATAACCTTTCCATTTCTGTTTCCAGGTTATTCTTGTGTTAACTACTTTCCAGCTTCCCCTAGTGATCATGAGCTTTGGGCAGTCTAAATTATACCGAAGGTAAAGATGTTATAGTTGTCTATAGTTCTATGTAAATATATATTTATTATATTTTTCTTTCTTTTTAAAAGATAGTATTTCTTCTATGCCCAATTGCTACAACAGCCTTCTCTTGTTCCATCCATAAAGTGCTGGGTAACCTGTTTTTTTCAAAAGCTGTTTTCCTGTAAATACGTATAGTTTTTCATGATTAACTTTTAAACAATGGCACTATAAACCTGTTTTCATTGAAATAGGAACATGTTGACTCAGGATAATTTTTTATCTTAATAGATTGTCAAATATAATCCATCTCCTTCCTCTGCCTGTTGGAAATCCTTCAGAAGAGCCCCCCTTTTGACTACCAGTATAGTTAATAAAACTTTGAGATAAGGTGAAGGCCTCACCTACCTATTAACATTCCATATATTTCATGCTAGGATTTCAGCCATGTATTTTTTTTTTCTCAGGTGGAAACAAGAAATGTTGGTTTAGACTTTTTCCTCCAATATTTACTTTGGTGCGGCTAACTCTTCCTGCTTTTCCATTTTTGAGTTGTTATGTAGAACAAGTTGCACCAGAGAGGTGAAGCCTGAAGAGGTAGTTCTTTTAGAAAAGAATTGCTCCTGCAAAGGGTAGGCATGTGGTACAGTGGTAGATTTGCTTCCAGCTTCAAGAATCCAACAGGCAGAAAAGAGATTTACTGGCATGTGGTCATAGGTTAATTATTATTTGCAGTGGAATTGGAAAAGAAAGAATTGAGAAAGGCCTGTTGCTCCAGAGCAGAGTTCCTCAGTGTCCGCAATTTTAAGGTATGGACTTCAGCTCCCAAAATTGCCTAGCCAGTGCTAGGAGTTGAAGTTCACATTCTTAAAATTTCCGAGACTGTGAAACACTGTTCTAGCACAATCCTAATACAGAATCTTGCATGCAATAGTTACTGTGTAGATCCTACTAGATATGTTGTGAAAACCCTTCTTTAACAGAACCATCAACGCTACTAAAATTATTTTTCAAATATCAAGCCAAATGTTCCTTAGACGTTTAGTAGAACATGCCATTTATGATTATGGTCCCTACTTTTACAATAGGTACAGATTTATGGATTCTAAATAGCATATTTTTATAGTTTAATTGAATGCTTATTTTAATTTGTAATTGTGTTAACTATTTGATGATTACCTGAAAATGAGAGGAATTTTAAAATGTGGGAGCTATTTTATATGATAAAGTGTAGTAGCTGTATCTGTGTAAAGGATAATTTTCATTGCAATGTATTTTTTTAGATATTTGTACACATATATGAACGTTCTATTATTGTGCACGTATTTCATCATTGAACTAAATCATACCATAGAAAACCTCTTAAATGATTTTTACATTGTTTAATTTTATATTTTTCCAGTTCTTTGTGATATTTATTTTATTGCATCAATAATTTTTGTCCTTACTTAGTCTTTTTTCCTTTTTATCTTAGCGAAGATTATGGGAAAACTTTCACAGACATTACAGATCTCATTAACAACACTTTCATTAGAACAGAGTTTGGAATGGCTATTGGGCCAGAGAATTCTGGGAAGGTAGGAACAATTGGTTATTACAATATAATCTAAACTGTTTGTTAGCCTTATTCTTCTTGATAAAAATTGAAGTCTTGAGACTTCAAAGGTCTAAAATGGCTGCATTTTAATAATTTAGCTTGGTATTGGAAAATAGATTTAAAGTGGTACTTGAGGTTTAACATGGCTAGAACCTAAGTGGATTTAAGTTTATTACTAGTTTTCCAGTGGTTGCTACTTGCCTAGGCATTCTAGAGAAGTAGTGCAAAAAACTGACTGGGCCCATCCTTCGCCTCTGATCATCTACTGAATAGCAATAGTACTTAGACTTATACAGAACTTCACAGTGTTTTACAGCCCTCTCTAAGTGGTTTACAGAGTCAGCATATTTTCCCAAACTGGGTCCTCATTTTACTGACCTTGGAAGGATGGAAGGCTGAGTCCACTTTGAGTAAGTCAGGATCAAAGGAATCAAACTCTTGGCAGTGAACAGAGTTAATCTGCAATACTGCATTCTAACTACTGCGCCACCGCAGCTTCATGAAGCTAACAGATAGGGCCAAAAATATTGACTTTTTCTTGGTTTTTAAAAGGTCAAGGGAAGATTTGAGCAAACTGTGTTTCTTAAGCTTATTTGGATTCCTAACTATCACTTTCCACGTTTGGATTGTGTTTCTTGATGTGCTGTTCAATATCTGGGGAGCTGTTGACCTGAAGAAAATTGGGCAGCTCTGCAATGCAACCTTACAACCTTACTAGTTAGAGCAGGCTAGTATCATCTAATTCTTCTTTCCCCTTCTTGCTGCACATTGTATTAAACTGTATAGGACTTGTCTGTCATTAATGGGGAGATAGAGTTATGGTTGTGATTTCTCTAACTTGCACTGGATTTTAAATTACTTCTCTAACTTGCACTGGATTTTAAATTACTGTCATTAGTTCGCTTCCACAATTAAATAAATGTTTTTGCTCCCAACACAGTTTCATCCTACATTATTGAGTCTGTCAATGGATATATTATGGATAAGAGGTTTCTTTCAATGACATTCCTATCAGAGGGATAAGCAGGAATAGTTTAATTTTTTAGAGCTTTCCTGAATGGGTTTCATAAAATCCTTTGGCGTAGCAAAGCAGTTCCTTTTGTCATCACAAAAGTCTTGCATTACCTTAGAATTTCTAATTCTACTTATGCTTATTTTTGTTTTTTTCAGGGACTTATTTTGTCCTTTAAAAAACCCAAAGCTATGGATTCAGACATACTAGTTTCAACACATGATAAACTGGCAGTGTGGATGAGCTCCTATGTGAATGTTTAGAAGATGATTCTCATTTTTACTTTTCCATCCGTCTAGGTGATACTGACTGGGGATAGATCTGGACATAGATCTAGTGGAAGAATCTTCCGATCGTCTGATTTTGCAAAGAATTTTGTACTAACAGACCTTCCTTTCCATCCTTTAACTCAAATAATTTATCACTCTCAGAATTCTGATTTGTTATTGACCCTCAGTACAGAGGTAAGATTTAGAGAAAGGGGATGGAGGTATCTTCATTGGTGTGGCAATTGAAATTGTGATCTTGTGATCTAAAATGAAGTATATTGGGGGGGGGGGGGATGATTTTGAATGACTACTTATAGTCACAATTTTTATGTAAAAAAATATATGTTCTCCGTTAGACTGCTGCAAGAGTCCAGGTTAGGTAAAACTCCGCCTCCTTTGTCTTGTGACTGAGTCTGCCAAGCTGTTTAGCCCTGTCTTCGTTGCCACAGTAACCCAGCTTTCGACTCAGTCCCTCGGCAGAACTGGTCGTGTCTGCGCGCTCTCTAGAGCAGTGGTTCTCAACCTTCCTAATACCGTGACCTTTTAATACAGTTCCTCATGTTGTGGTGACCCCCAACCATAAAATTATGGCTCAGTTCCTAAGACCATCGAAAATATGTGTTTTCCGATGGTCTTAGGCGACCCCTGTGAAAGGGTAATTTGACCCACAAAGGGTTTGCGACCCACAGGTTGAGAACCACTGCTCTAGAGCATAGCAAGCGAATCAACTTTAATTTGAACTTTGACTGTTTTAATCGGCGTTGGACTTTAAATCCTGCTCCTGGGAACCCAGTAGAGTGAGCGCGCCGCCGCAAGGGGTTGGGAAGGGCTCTTCCCTCCCCAGGAGTGATTCCCGGGCCGGAGCTTCATCTCTATATAATCATTACTGATGATTATTCAGATATTAGGACAGCACTGAATTAGGATAGCATTGAATAAATTGTGATTATGACTTGTCCTCAGAGTTCTGGCCATCTTTGCAGTCATATGATTGCGATCTGGCCATTTGCTAACTGGCTTACACTTAGGACCGGTTGCAGCACCCCATGATCACATAATCTCAATTTGCAACCTTCCCTGATGATTTATTCGGAAGGTCAGTGGGGAAACCAGCAAGGGAAGTTACAAATTGCTGAGTAAATCTGCAGGGATTGCTGTCACTAAGTGATGTGGTCATGTTTTACATCTGCATCGAAATTCAGCTATCAACTGCTGTTGTAAGTCAAGAGCTACCTGTATTTATGTTCTGCTTTTCCTTATGGAGCTCAAAGAAGGTTTTTCTTCATTTTGCCTTTATAACATCAATTCCACGAGGAAGGTGGGGTTAAGAAATAGGGATTGGTCTGGAATCAAACTTGGGAGATTTTATAATACATGGGCCACATCTGGCAAGTCTCAGTCCGGTTTGTGTTATCAGTAGTGTTGGTGGCAGGGTCTGTGGTTTCATCAGAATTGGCATCAGTATGTTGATGGGGGTGGGGGCGTGGAGCTAGTGTCAATGCAGTGTTGGGAAGTGGGAAGTTAGGTGTCTGCAGCTTAGAAATTGGGATGTTACCAATGAGGAGTGAGGCAGAAATGGCAGGGGCCTTCCACAGCGAACCCAGATTCTCATGTCACTCCTTTGGAAAATTAATTGCCCACCCCAGCCTAGACTGAACAAGTCCTTTTCTTTGGGGGTGTAAAACATTATACATTTGATTGAAGTATGATTAAGCTTTTTTGGCCAATTTAAGCTGATAGACTTATATTACATAAGCTTCAGTTGGTCCAGAATGATAGGACCACATCTGAGAAAGTCTGGTTTTCAGGAATATGCAAATTCTTTTTATTTCTAGAGTTTAACTAGTTTCTGCTCTGTTTCTGGGCACATTTCAAAGTGCTGGGTTTGGACTTTCAATGATTTAAGCAATTAGGTCCAGTATATTAAAAGAACATTTTCAAAAGATCCATCCAACTATTCTTTACGTTCAACACATTTGACCTTTATTGAGGCCATGTTCTTTGTGATGTCTGCTATGAGAGGCCCCCTTCTCCTACTGGAATTCATCTGGTGGTTCTTCTCAATCTTACATTTGGTCTAGTGAGTTAAAATGATTTTTAAATGTTTCCTTTTTTGCTTTCTATTCATCTTTGTTTACTTCATTAATTGTTTTACATCAGCAATTTTTAATAAATTGCTCAGATTAGGTTACAGTTTAATCCCTACGCTATAAACATAAAAATGTGTCACTTGAATATGATGAATCAATAATAAGCAACTCTTTCTAAATGTTCCAGGGTAGCTTGTGGATATCAAAGACATTTGGTGAGAAATGGAAAGAAATCCACAAAGATGTTTGCTTGGCCAAATGGTAAATTTCTTAATGAATGCTATCCAGGGAAAAGTGGTAGTTTAATATATATATTAAATGAGCTTAAATGTATATTGAAGGTTTAATGTATATTAAAATAATTTAAGTGTATATTAAAGGTGCTATACCTGGTAATTTGTAAAAACACGAAGAAAGCTGTTGAGAAAAATGTTTAATGTTATTTTCTCAGTTACAAAAAAGCAATTAAAGACTTTATTTAGGATTACCATTTGTAGCATCTGGTACATAGTACATAGCAAGAACTTTATAAAGAGCTAATTTGTTAAATTCAAATGCATTGCTTTTGCTAATTTTCATCTTGAGTATACCAGGGTAATTTAATGAGTAGATATAAAACAGGTGGGGAGATAACCACAGGCCAACATAGGAGAGACAGATTTGGAACTAACATTTCCAAATTAAAAGTATTACATAAATGAGAGAAAAAACTTTTGCACAAGACCTTGGGAAGTTGTTGCTTCGTAGCATAGTGACAAACCAATGGTCTAATTTATATAGAAGTGAACTCCTTATTATAGTGTGACTGTTACTTTCAGTGAGGCTTATCGATGGATTATTTCATGCAATCCTAACACTTTTTCTGCCACTTGATGCATTTTTAACTTTCAAAAATCTTAACTTGGCTTACTAACTAGATACAATTTGTGACAACTCATCTCTCTGGATATAATGTTGCCCAAACTGATGCCCTCCAGATATGTTGAACTAAATCCCTCATAATTCTCCAGCCAATTTATTGAAAATTCAGAGAACTGAAATATCCATATTTGGGGGTTACATTACAGCATTCCTGAAATTGAATTTCAAAACAACTAGAAAACTTGCTCTGTACTGAAATTTAGATGATACTTTCACACCATTCTGATCTGATGTTGATTTAGTGGTTTCTATGTCTACACAGAGTGTTATCACCTAGCCCAGTGTAGTAGCAGAATCTGGTTAATTGTAGGTTATTTAATAAATCATAGTGAAGCTATAATTTAACATGATATATGAAGTCATTCCACATAACTGAAGTCCCAATTGTTTAGTTAGCCTACATGTTTCTGCCATTACACTAATTATATTCTCTTGACCTTTGATAGGGGTTCTGGTGGAACCATCTTCTTTACTACCTACCTGAATGGCTCTTGTAGTAAGTAATCCTTAATATAATAAATAGAGCTACTTCAGTTTAGAACTTTTTTGGCAGATTTTTGTGGATCCTTTTCTTTGAGTCCACAGCCTCAAGAAGTCTTGACCATAGCTTATTCACCTGCAGTAATGTGGGAAAATCATATTCTTGCTAAATGTATATATTTGTTTATCAATGTTTGGAATTTTTTTCCTGGAATCCACCCATAGAAAATTGTAGTTATAAAAAGTCACTGTCTTGTGAAACAAGAGTTTGTCATTTAAAAAAGCCTCACTAAACATAGTGGGAAGTGTCAAAACTTTAGCTGGTTTGCTAGTATGTAGGAGTTACAGCAGTTCTGTTTTTTTCCTTCTTTTTTTATTAACCTTTTCTGCTGCTGATACATTTCCAATTTACAGAACTTTTGCCTAGTAAATAGGTATTTATTGCCTTTAAATGGCATAAAATTAACTTTTGATTGTGATATTGAAGGGAGTTTTAGAAGAGAGGGATTTGACATATGACTCTGGGTTTTCACGTTTTCCCCTTTTCAAATTACTTATGAATAATACCTAAAGTTTATAAATATGAAGATAAGAACAAGTATAAATCTGACTAGCCATATTGAAAAAAAACACTACTGTATCACTGAAACCATAATCAAGACAGCAATAATTAATTTTTCTTCCTTTCCCATGACATATTGCAATGATTATTGCATGAAATGTAACAGAGGAAATTTAAATAGCTAATTCTTTTTTAACTAAAAAAATGTAATTCCTGTTCATGAGCGATGGTGAGCAATAAAAGAATCTTATTATTACATTACAATCAGATATAAAATACAGTCTTATGTGAATGAATGGTTGGAAAATCTCTATACAACATAAGCATAAATATGAATCAGCTGCATTTTTGATATAAAGAGGTCTTCAAATATTGACCCACCTGTAGCACTGTTTTTGAAGTAGTTTGCTTTTCCATCCTGATTTTTATGTCGACGTCTGCAAAATGGAAGTCTATGTATATGAATTCTTTCTTCAGATGCTCTTGTTCAGTACACAGGCTGGGTTCCTACACAAAGGTGGGATGAGATTAGCTGTTCCTTTAGCATGTCATGGTGGGAATTATCTGTTTTCTAAATGGAATGATCTTAATGCATCTACTTCTCTTCTGAAGAAACTGATATCGGATTATTGGACTTAAAGAAAACTAAAGACTTTGGGAAGACATTCAAGACCATAGGAAACAACATCTACTCCTTTGGCCTAGGTGGTCGTTTTCTTTTTGCATCTGTGATGGTAGAAAAAGTAAGAAAACTATTCTTGGGCTTCCTTTTGTTTCTATAGACTTGTTGCCTTCATTCGCATCATGCTCTTTTTTTTCTTTCCTCTAATGCAATGTCCCCAAACTGTGAGCCGTTGAGAAGCCATTGTGAGAAGTCCACAACAAATATAATAAACAAGAAACAAAATTAAAAAAAAACAAGCCATAGTTCTTCCACTAGTGCAGATGCTGATGGGAAAATATTTCACTGGTTGATGTGAGTGGAAAGGAGACAAATACTCAACTGGCCTAGGAGAAAGATTGGAGAAATAGCACCAAACAATTTGGTCTGGTTCTTCCTCTCTCCTGGCCTGCATCGGTAGTTTTGTTCCTCCCAAAATATACAATATCATATGCATGAGTTTTCCGCTACAGCCCAAGTATCATGGTTGGCTATGAAGTCCCTAGATGTTGCCAGATGTTTTCACCTTATAATCAGTATCACTGTTCTGTGTTGTCTGTAGCCTCCTCTCCCTCACACAGCTAGCCTGTTATCTACCAGATCTTCCTACCAGGTATCCTATCCGTTGAAGGTTCTTTTACATATATTCCTCCATCTATACATTTTGGCACCTTCAGCCTCAAGGTCTAAAGTCCTACTAATGGCTGTTCCTACCGTTTCAAATTTAGGAAGCAAAGACTATTCTACAGAAGTTGAGAAGATATTCTCTGTGCACACATATCATTTCCATCACCATAATTCCAGCATCCCCATTGCCAAAAGCTCCTTTGTTCATCTAGTGACCACTACCAAGCACATATGATGTTTACTTGTCTGAACGGACCAGACCTGAGGCCCAATTGAGCCCCAGAGGGCTTTAACTTCATTTTGCGTGCCCTAAGTGTTTGTTATATTTTCTCAAAGACAAGCTTGCTCTAATGTGCAAGTTCTTTGAAATTCTATAATTGCTTAATAAACAGGAAAAAATGTTTTAAAAGTTATAAAAACAATATATCATTATAAACATTTTCTAGTTGTTTTATATTATGAACAGCTTCTTCATAAATGAATATGGATGGTTTTAGAGAAAAGAAATATTTTTGCTTTATCTAGAGCAAGACAAGGAGAATCCATGTGTCATTAGATGAAGGTGAAACATGGAACATGGCTCAACTTCCTTCAGTTGGGCAAGAACAGTTTTACTCTATTTTGGCAGCGAATGATGACATGGTGTTCATGCATGTGGATGAACCTGGAGGTGAGAGGGAATACAAAGTGGGTGATGTATCATTTAGTATATCCAAATTTTGTTTGATTATGGTTACAAAATTGCATTTTAAAAGAAAAAAATGGTTCTCTAAATTGTCATTATTATATAGGCAGATTTTTCCTAAGACAAAAGTGTTTGAATTGCATATTTGGTAAATAGATTTCCAGCAGATTTACAAATTGTTGTTTTGAGAATCTGTTCCCAGTGTCAGTATAGTATATATAAACGTGTGGGCTTCCTGACAACTTTCTTTTCCCTGCCAATTTAAACCAGGGGTCTCCAAACTTGGCAACTTGAAGAGTTGTGGACTTCAACTCCAGCTATCCTGGCTGGAGAATTCTGGGAGTTGAAGTCCACAAGTCTTAAAATTGACAAGTTTGGAGACCCCTGGTTTAAACAAATACATTGTAAGAACATGTTGTGGCGTATCAGGTAAGAACCAACGCCCTTTTTACTTAGGTAGAATTCATGTAGTTCTTCATTTAGCGTACTATTACTGCAATAGGTTTTAGGCTGATCTAAAATACAGATTGTATGCAAGAGTTTCCTAATAACTTACAGCTTGTTGGTGAATTATGATACAACTTAAAACCACCGTCTATAAAATTCTGTTTCTCACCTTTCAATTTGCTATTTCTTTCTCAGATACTGGACATGGAACAATTTATACCTCTGATGATCAAGGCATTATATACTCCAAGTCCCTGGAAAGGCATCTCTATACTACCACAGGGGGAGAGACAGATTTCACCAATATAACTTCCCTACGAGGCACCTATATTACCAGTGTGCTTTCAGAGGGTGGGTTTTCATTTTTAAATTTCTTTGTCACTAAAAGTTTATAGAATTGCTGAACTCTGTTAAGAAAATGATTAAAATATTTGGATACAATTTCATTTAGAATCAAAGAAATACTCCTATTATTTTAAGTAATATATCGAGACAGTGTTCTTGTGGACCACTTTTATAAAACTCTTAATTGTAATTAATTAGCTTTTTGGCAGTGATTGTTCCTGTGATATTGATTAGAACTATTTAATTTCTGCCTGAAGTTAAAGCTGTTTACATTACTTGTGCAAAGTAAGAAGATAAGATTAATTTGTGCCAAACTGTGATGTAAGGCAAGCAATTTCTGTAGATGGTGATCAGAAGTTTTATTCAGAGTAGAAATGTCAAGCTGCAGTGTAAAACTTTGAAATTCTATATGGCAATTACGTTTTATTCTATCCGAAAAAGTAACACTTCTGCATAGAAGTGACTCAGAAATAAACAAACAAAAACCATCAAATGTTATGGATTTTTTTTCTTTTTCTTCTTTCAATCAGATAATTCAATTCAGTCTGTGATTACCTTTGATGAAGGAGGGGAATGGGTACACTTGAGGAAACCAGAAAATGCTAAGTGTGACTCAACAGCCAAAAATAAAGAAGAGGTTTGTTTTTTAATGTGTTAGCAAAGACGAGGTATAAACTTAATAAATGTTGATAAGCAAAAGAAGTAGGCAGGCCCAGACTAACTTTTACTGCAATCAAGACATGCTGTAATGTTAAGATGTTACATGAACAAAATAGATATACACTGCTCAAAAAAATAAAGGGAACACAAAAATAAGACATTCTGGATCTGAATGAATGAAATATTCTTATTAAATACTTTGTTCATTACATAGTTGAATGTGCTGACAACTCACACAAAAATTATCAATGGAAATAAAATTTAGCAACCCATGGAGGTCTGGATTTGGAGTTACACTCAAAATTAAAGTGGAAAAAAACACTACAGGCTGATCCAACTTTGTTACAATGTCCTTAAAACAAGTCAAAATGAGGCTCAGTAGTGCATGTGGCCTCCACGTGCCTGTATGACCTCCCTACAACGCCTGGGCATGCTCCTAATGAGGTGGTGGATGGTCTCCTGAGGGATCTCCTCCCACACCTGGACTAAAGCACTCCTGGACAGTCTGTGGTGCAATCTGGCATTGGTGGATGGAGCGAAACATGATGTCCCAGATGTGCTCAATTGGATTCAGGTCTGGGGAACGGGCAGGCCAGTCCATAGCATCAATGCCTTCATCTTGCAGGAACTGCTGACACACTCCAGCCACATGAGGTCTAGCATTGTCGTGCATTAGCAGGAACCCAGGGCCAACCGCACCAGCATATGGTCTCACAAGGGGTCTGAGGATGAGCTGCACTACCTGAGCCATTTTTGTGGGTTGTAGACTCCGTCTCATGCTACCACTAGAGTGAAAGCACTGCCAGCATTCAAAAATGACCAAACCATCAGCCAGAAAGCATAGGAACTGGGAAGTAGTCTGTGATCACCACCTGCAGAACCATTCCTTTATTGGGGATGTCTTGCTAACTGCCTATGCTTTCCACCTGTTGTCTCTTCCATTTGCACAACAGCATGTGAAATTGATTGTCAATCAGTGTTGCTACCTAAGTGGACAGTTTAATTTCATAGAAGTGTGATTGACTTGGAGTTACAATGTGTTGTTTAAGTGTTCCCCTTATTTTTTTGAGCAGCGTATTAAGCAGCCTTTGGAATTGCTCAGTTGGAAGTTGATTTGTTTAGTTGTTTTAATTCAAATGCAAGACAGGTTAATGCCTAGAATTTGAGATAAAGTTAAAAATATTATTAGGAATATATTGCAAGGAAAGTAGAATGCTGAAAAAATGTATACTGAGTTGAATTTAATTTAGCCAAAACAAGAAAATAGAGAACTGTTGATCCTATAAAATTAGAAAGTTGCTTGGACCGTATAAGTTCTGAATGAATTCTTTCACTCTTGAGATTTTGATTCTTAAATTTAGTCTGCTTTGGCTTTGCATTAGTAAATATTTTCTATTTTGGCAGATGCATTGAGACAAGTAATGATGCTAGCTTTGTGTTTAATGAAATCAAATCAATGATGCACTTGTATTTTGTCCCTCATTCTTGATTTATCTTATATTTACAGTGCAACCTTCACATTCATGCCTCCTATAGCATCTCCCAGAAGCTGAATGTACCTATGGCACCTCTGACTGAACCAAATGCTGTTGGAATTATTATTTCTCATGGTAATGAATTAATCTTATGCACATGTAATATGTAATGAAATACTGTGCAAGAGCAGAGAATTTTCTTGTGCTCCTTCAGATTGCTTTTACTCCCTGCTTGATTAGGAGAGATACACTGTAAAAGGATGTGAGAGACTGTGGGCTTGACAAAGAAATACATGTGGTAGGTCTTCGTGAGAAAATTGGTATAATTACCATTTATGGTGTTTTATGTTGCAGGAAGTGTTGGAGATGCTATCTCAATAACAAACCCAGATGTTTACATTTCGGATGATGGTGGCTACACCTGGTCACGGACACTTGAAGGTCCCCATCACTATGCAATCTTGGACTCTGGGGGCATCATTGTGGCTGTTGAACAAACTCATTTTGTCAGAGAGATTAAGTATGCGAGAGTTTTGCTAATATTCATTTAGTGGGAGGATATAAGTTCTCTGTTTGCTTCTGACCTCCACATTACTGAATGTCTATGGAGATTCTCAGTTATCCAGGTCATGGTTGTCCCAAAGGTGCTTTTGTTTTCTTCTCAAGAGGCAACTGGACTTTCTGGTCCGGAAAGTCCAATTGCCTGTTGGGGATTTAAAAAAAGGCACTTTGAGACTCCACATTACTGGCTACAGCAGTTCAAAGAAATTTTTTTCCTGGTATAATGTCAAATTGAATCGCTTTGAAATTAGAGCATATGAAATATATGAAAATGGATAAGAGTCAGCGTTAGATAAAAAAAGATTGCAAGATAATTTATACTCTTATTTCAAAACAAAACTCTCCAGACAAAGGGGCTTAATTTGAAGTTAATATACATGGAATTATATCCAAGAAAAAAACTTGGGAAAAAGGGTGCAAAGAAGAAAGGTGGTGGCAGTCATACTTGAGCATACAATTTGGGGTAATAGAGGTAATCCTTGCTTTAGTACTGTAGTTGAGTCCAGAATTACAGCTGTAAGTCATGCTGATCATTAATTGGGATCATTGACCCAATTTTATGACATTTTTTGCAGCAGTTATTAAGCAGATGTGGCAGTCGTTAAGTGAACATCACTATCACTAAGTAGTCATAAAACAAACTCATTGTTTGCAATGACCACTTTTGTTGGAAAACGAAAGTAAACATTGGTTTATGGCAAAAATCATAAATTGCAGTTATGTCACCTTGGGATGCTCCAAACTGCTGCAGATACAGGACAGTGGCCGAGTTTCTCAGTTTCTCAGTGACTGATGATTAAGACAGGACTACTTGTAATCTCTTGTGAAGACATGAGTTCTTGAGGAAAAAAGGAGCTTTGTTTCCTGAGAGGAAATCTATTTTTTTACCATATCCTTCTCCCCCCCCCCCCAAAAAAAAAAAAAAAAAAAAGAGGCGGGGAGGAGATTGTGTTATATATATGCTTGGATTTCTTTTTCCTGAATGATTCCACAATTGGGGGCCTAATAAGATGAATCATCTTGTTAAGAACAGTTGTTAAATTACCTGTCTAATTAGTTTAAATAGACTGGGGCCATGCTTTGAAACCAAATTTTTAATTCTCGTTTATTTTAGGTTCTCAACAGATGAAGGACAGTGCTGGCACAGCTATATTTTCAGTGAGGAACCCATCTTTTTCACTGGTTTGGCATCAGAACCTGGAGCAAAATCAATGAATGTTAGCATCTGGGGATTTCAAGAGAGTTTCTTATCTCGCCAGTGGATCTCATATACCATTGATTTCCAAGATCTCCTCAGCAGAGACTGTGAGTGATCTTACTATTTACAGAAATACCAGCAGCTACACACTATTATGGGCTTACAAATCAGAAAAGTAACTGAAGCAGAACATCTCGTATTAGCTGTGATGTTATTCAGAGAAGATTCAGTACCTTTCAAGATTAGAATACAGGGTAGTCCTTACTTACCAACTGATTGTTCAGTGAGTATTCAAAGTTGTGACATGAGTGGTACTTGCAACTGGTCCTCAAAGTTCCGGCCTTCCAGTACCCCCACAATTATGTAATCATGATTTGAGCACTTGATTTTGGAATAGAATAGAATACTTTTATTGTCATTGCATTCCACAAATACAATGAAATTTGAAAGCTACTCCAGCACAGTGCCCCAAACACCGTATCACAATCACACTACAGAGTATTTTAATATTATTATTATTATTATTATTATTATTATTATTATTATTAATAATAATAATAATAATAAGAAGAAGAAGAAGACGACAACTAAATCACAAATGCACTGTTTAATTCAAGACAATTACTGCCTTGGAAAAGAAACTGTTTCTCAATCTATTAGTCCTCATTTTAAGACACCTATAATGCCTCCCTGATTGTAACAGTTCAAAATATGGATGTCCAGGATGAGAACGGTCTGTGGAGATTTTTAGCGTTCTAGAGAGGAGTCTGGTCTTTGCAATCTCTTCCAGAGAAGAAAGAGAGCAACCGATGATTTTTTGTGCTGTGTTTATAACTCTCTGGAGCATCTTCTTCTCCACTGCAGAGCAACCAGCATACCACATCGTTACACAGTATGCCAAATGCTCTCAGTGGTAGAATGGTAAAAAGTAACCAGCAACTTCTCACCCAGACCACTCTTTTTCAGCAACCTCAGAAAGTGCAGGCGCTGTTGGGCCTTCTTTGCAGTGGCCATAGTGTGGACCAACCCAAGTAAGGTTGTCGGAAATATGAGTTCCTAGAAATTTAAAGCTATGAACTCTTTCCACTCAGTCTCCATTGATATGTAATGGGAGAGGCTCTTGCTTTGCATCTTCTGAAGTCTATAATTAATTCTTTGGTCTTTTTGATGTTCATGGTGAGGTTATGACTCTTGCACCACAAGACCAGTCTGAGAACCTCTGACCTATAGGCCCTCTCGTCTCGTCTCCTGATATGAGTCCCACCAGCGTGGTGTCATCTGCAAATTTTATTATAGAGTTAGTGGGACAAGAGGGAGTGCAGTCATAGGTGTAGAGTGAATGCGAAAGGGGGCTCAGCACACAGCCCTGTGGAGAGCCAGTGCTGGGAACAAGAGTGGAGGAAAAATAGCTGCCAATCCTGTTTGGGGTCTGTTAGTAAAAAAGTCCCTTATCCAACAGCAGATGTGAGAGGAGAGGCCCATTTCCAGCAACTTCTTAATGACAGTTGTAACGTCTCACAGTCCCATGATCACCACCTGGAATCTTCCCTGCGGGCTTCCCACATGCAAAGTCAATGAGGAAGCTGGCAAAGAAAACCACATGTTGCTCTCTCCCCACCTTCCTGTGCCAAACTCTGCTTCCCTCAGCCTCCCTGAGCTCCCACCCACACCATGCCTTCCTCCGCTCAGCCTCCATACACTCCTACCACGCTCTCCTTTCCTCGGCTTCCCTGCACTTGCACTGGGTCTCCATCCCTCAGCTTTCACACCACAATAGTCCCCTGGCCCAATTTGCATGTGACCTGCACCTCTCCCTCCCGCACCCCACCCAGCAGCATCCATGTGAGACTATATTAGCGATCTCCAGTCACTAATATTTTCAGAGCTAGGCAAAATAATTTTAAAATGTATATTTAATTTCTGGAAATCTCTGTTTTTTCAGAAATAATGGAAGAATTTGAGCAACTTTTGGGGGCCAAAGTAAGGGCACAGATAAATACTCCAGCTATTTCTAGACTGTTTATGTAATTCTACAAAACATTTCCTCCATCTTTGTTCCCTTAAATTGATTGTACAGGGGAGCAGGGATTTCTCCCTTCATTCCTTCTTGTTGATTGGTATGTGTTGCAAATGCAGGGCCTGTGAGATGTAACTTTGCAAACTCTAAACTGGAAAAACTACACAATTGCCTTAGTAATACCTGATTATAACACTGTGTGAAGAATTGAAAATTGTCAGGGAAACCACTTACTACTCGATTTACTTTCTTTTGGTAATCTTAGAAATCTGGCCATTATTTTTTTTCTTCAGGTGAAGAAAAGGACTATACAAAGTGGTTGGCTCATTCCAACAATCCCAGTAACCCCTCAGATGGGTGCATACTGGGCTACAAGGAGGAGTATCGACGCCTTCGCAAATCTTCTGTCTGTAAAAATGGCCGTGACTACATTGTGACCAAGCAGCCATCTGTCTGCATTTGCACATTAGATGACTTTCTTTGGTACGCTAAAAATCAAGAATCTGGTAACACCTTTTCCAGTTAACAAATTTTACTACAAGGCCTAAGCTTTCATGAGTTGCTTTTGGAAACTTCATTAGATGCTTAGAATGGTTTTTGCCTTTCTTGGTCTTTTTTAAATGTTATGAAATGGTCAGAGCTATTACTTTTCCTGTCTTTATTTTTCCATTAGAGCTTACGGTAATAATGGCACAGTATCTGCTCAGGATTTGCATCTTGTGGTTGAACTGTACCAGAGACACTGTTTCCTCCCTCTTCTAAGGCCAGGCCCCATTTTTCTACTTCCTCTGTTCTGCTGCACTGACAAAACTCAGTTTTCTTACTGCCATCTTCAAGTCTCTTCCATTTTCTCAGGCTGTGACAGCAAATCCAGCCCCATTATCATCAGGGAAGTTGATCTGTGTTATTGATGACCTATTAAACGTCAGACATTAGACCAGGGGTCCCCAAACTTGGCAACTTTAAATCTTGTGGACTTCAAGACTTGAAGTACGCGAATTTTAAAGTTGCCAAATTTGGAGACCTCTGCATTAGACAATGTCCTGATTCACACATAGCAGTAAAATATGCTTTGTTTTAAGCATTGGACAAATCATAGTGGCCTAGTTCTGATCTAATTGCAAAGCTATGCATGCTTTATAAGATCCAATGTCTGGATTAAAAAAACCAAAGTACTTTAGAGCCACAATAAGCACATTAATAAACACTAATTCAAATAAATTATAAAATAAATAATGAAGTGTGAACACTGCTACCTTCTGTGTGTGACATGGCATAACATGCTAGTATCCAAACTACAAAATCTATTACAATGAGTGACCACTAGTGAACAAGAGAAAGCAATGTGACTTAGTATGTCACAAAGATTAGTAGAGATTACTACAGCAAGCAGTAGGAAAGAGCTGGGCTAGAAGCTCTTTATGATTACCAGGTTTTATTAATAGGTTTGTTTGAGATGACACTCTTTTGTGCTTCTGCGTGTTCTCAGTTAGGGTTGCACTTGCGAATATTTCTTTAAAAAGGGCATTTTCCGCCCGCAGTAGGACACCTACAGTAAGGGCACCTTCACGCCCGCAGTACTGTCAACAAACAGTAATACAATTGTTCTAAAAGTCTAATGTATATCATGTCTTTAATTTTGGCACAAGACCTATTTTTCATGTATTTTTCATTCATGCAATATGTGAATGAATGTAATACATTCAATTATATACATGTGTGCCTTAAATATTTAATGTGCTACAAATTAGGTGCTTATTCTCAATGCAAAAAAGTGTCCTCTGGAAATATGGGAATCTTCACTAGCCAGCTCATCAGCTGGATGTTTGCAAAGATCACCAATGGTAGTGAGAAATCAGCAGGCTGTTAAGCGCTAACTAATTGGCTGCTTGTTTCATACAGTGTCCCATTTTTGTTTCTTAAAGATTAGTGGACCAGTAAACAGGGTAGGACCAGATTTCTAATTTACATTACTAATGAAAGTAGAAACCAGTGATCTTAGGTAAGTTTGTTGTGGGAGGTCCAAGAAAAGGCTTCCTCTCTAACAGGTTACTGTTTACCTGTTACGTGAAGAGAATCTTGAAGATCATTCAAGAACTAAGATACTATACAGTGCTACTGTTGAGTATCATACCCCCCAAAACAGCAACAGTATGTGGCCTGAATATGTGCTTTAACCTAAATTTAAATAGAATTTGTTCCAGCTTTATTCTACCACTCTGAACTTCCTGGAAAATTAGCAAACTTGCTTGACAGTATTTTTATCATTGCATTGCATGAACTATCTGTCTTACTTCTTTTTTCAAGCAGTTGACTGGAATTTCAGTAGAATCATGAGCTGTTAAAAGGGAAACATGCTTCACCCAAGGCAATCAGGAAACATTCAGAGCCATCTCTGTACATTTCGTAGTAAACCTTTCATTCCTATAAATTTTATAGGCTCATATTGTCTAAAATAGAATTAGACAACCTAATGCCCTAAGACAGCATTAAGTAAGACAGTAAGGCACTTTGAGAGTTGTAATCCAAAATATGAAAGGTAACAAATAATGTACACTGAACTAAAACTTACTATCACCTAATGATCTGTCCATGAAAAAATGGAACCCAATAATGTCTAGAACATCAGAGTATGTCCTGCTACATAACAAAATACAGGCAGTCCTTGACTTACAACTGTAATTGAGCCCAAAGTTTCACCGGTCCTGCAGCACTCATACCATCCTTATCTGCTTACTAGCCTGTTTGCAAAGCATCTGTGACTCACAATGAATAATTCTCATTTAATGACAGCATTGGAGAGTGCTGGATTGCTGTTGCTAAGCACTGTGGTCACATGACATTGCGCTTTACAGCCACATTGCTTAGCGCTAAAAATTCTGGTCCCAATTTCCAATGTTAACCAAGGACTTGCTGTAGTTCTGGTGAATTTTTTTTTTTGTTCTGGTCACTTTTGCTCAAAGAGAAACATTCAAAACTCCCTGGTTATTAAGCAGGGCACTTTGTTGGGAATGAAGTCATTATAAACTGAAGCAACTATGACTTTTTGTCCCCAGACCAGTATGGCAAAGAGAACAGGGACAATTTCATCTCATCTTTTCCACCAACCTGATCTCTGTAATACGTGTTAGGTAAGGTCAATAGTGCACAGCCAGATCCTGAATGTTACCATAATTTTCTTGTTTTCTAATCTGGCATTCAGGAGTACCATCTTCATACTGAGTTGGGAAGGTCACCATCAAGTAGAAGACTATAGCTGAGAGACTAACAGAAATCAGGAACACCTGTCATTTCTGTATCATCCTCTGCTTGCTATGCTTGCAATGCCTGCCACAGAAAAACCTTTCATTACTTATTTTGAAAGGGTATGCATGCACGTGTGTGTATATGTGCGTGTGTATGTATGCATTACATTCATGATAAAACACCTTAATAATCACCTTTCCCCTCGGCAGATATTTATATAACCACAAGTATCATGATAACAGTCAAAATCTTTACGGTCTTCTTTCCACATAAGCTAAATATCAGTAAATATTTGTGTAAACATGACTATATGTTTCAGATGAAGTCAATGGCTTTTCTTCCCTATGTATTTGTTTATTTATTTGTCCTCCAGTGATTTTGGCTATTTCCGCCCAGAAAACCAGTCTGAATGTGTGGAGCAGCCAGAGCTGAAGGGTCATGACTTGGAGTTCTGCTTGTATGGGAAGCAAGAGCTGTTAAAGACCAGCGGGTAATTTTCTTGTAGGATTCTAATGCATTAGCAGTAGCATGCAAATGGATGCCCTTAGCCAGCAAGAGAAATTGAAAGATGGCCTTAGTGTTGTGGATCCTTTTCTAAAATAAATACGTTTAAACTGTCGGGTCTTTTGGGGGCCCATAGTGCTCTGTTAAACAGCATCTCCCTCTACAAATTATAATTTGAGCCAATAAGAAAACCCCCATGGGATCAGGGAATGCCTATGGTAGGAAATGGTTTGGCCAAGTCTGGAAAGGTATGCCTTGCAGACTCTTCCTGCTTTTAAATGATCCAGCCTGTATGTGGAGATAAAGTTTGTACTCCAATGAAGGCAAATATATAGGTGTCCCAGGATAATGTTGTAGGATCCAATCTGGGTCAGTCGTGGGGAGTACAGGTTTAGCCTTCTGAGCTTTCGGACTCATTCAGGAGCCTGTCCCGAGGGAACTTTTCTCTCACCATAATGTGTCTCACTCTGGTGAGACAGAGGTTCCCTGAGAATGGGCTCCAGCCAGGGGTGAGATTCTACCGGTTCGGACCAGTTCGGGTGAACCGGATGTTAAATTTGCATCTGGTTCGCTGAAACCAGTATTTCAACTGACTGGCTGACCCTGCTCACCCCTCCCCTCCCAGGAGTCTCCATGTGGCCCATTTTTGATGCAGGTAAGTGCAGGGTCCGTGTGGAGGGTCTGGGAGGGGGGGAAAGCGGGCCTTCCGGAGGTACCAAAAGTCCAGAAACAGGCCTGTTTCCGGCTTTTGGGGGGCCTCCAGAGCCCGTGGGAGACTGTTTTCACCCTCCCAGAGGCCCGAGGGAAGCCTCTGGACTCTTGGGAAGGCAAAAAACGGCCCTCCCGGAAGTTCCAGTAGGCTACGCCCACCCAGCAACTGGGCAGTGAAATGGTTGCTGGGATTTTTGAATCCCACCCCTGGCTCCAGCACTGGTCCAGAAGCTTGGAAGACTAAACCTCTGGTCCCAGTGACCAACCCAGATTGGATCCTGCAACATTATACTGGGACACTTACATATTTGCCTTCATTTGTATACAAGCTTTACTTCCAAAACATTAAACCTCTGGTCCAGATTGGATCCTGCAAAGTTTGTATAGCTCAAACAGAGAATGTACAACCTAACACTCTGTGTGAATAATACAAGGTAGAAATGTGAGTGAGAGATAAAGGAGTTTCAGTTGCTGTTTGAAGTTCACTGAACCGAGAAAGTAAAAGGAACATTGGTTTTTAAGTACATGAGATGGAAGTTAAGCAGATGGAAGTCAGAAGGAAGCAACAGACAGCTAGGTGTGCTGTTGTTCCAACAGATGGAGAAGATACAGCTAAGACAGCTCAAAAACAGAAAGACTTAGTGGGAGTTAAGTATGTGCTAACCAAGCTAATTCAGCAACACCAGGCTTTGAAAAATCTTGCCAACAGGCTTGGGGCTGGAGATGGTCCAGGAGGCAGGTTTAGTAAGGTACCCTGGGGCTCTACAGGGTAGTAACGCAGGCCACAGAAAGTCCTGTGATAGATTGGATGACCGACTAAGAGACTCCTGAAGAAAGGCCTTCCAGAGAAACCTCAGCCACAGAGGACACAAAACAGGTCCAGCAGTGGAAAAAATGACTGCCAGTTGGAGACAGGCTGACTTCACTGGGGAGGCTTCCTGAGGCAGGGCGATAATAAATATTTTTAATCCTAGCACATTTGGAGAATATGAGGTTAGGGAAGATGCTTTTTCTGGGTGAAACTCTTCTGAGGTATATGTTATATTGACCCAAAAGTTCTATTGCCGAAATATTTTGAGAGCAGAGAGCTTGATAAGAACATTCATTGATTAGAGGCCATCATGTTAATTGTTTAAATATCATTTTGAAGGGCCAGTCCTAAAATAATGCTGACTGTAGGGAAGTTTTGTAGAGCTTGAAATAATTCAAGGTTAATCAGACAAATAAATACCATTCAACTTTCCTGTTCTGAACTGGCACTGACACAGATAAGTAATCTTTGTTGGCTTGGGATGCCGTCACTCATTAAAAGAAAACCGCCTGTTGCAGAAAATTACTTATTGAAACTGGGTTTCCTTTTCAGATATCGGAAAATCCCAGGGGACAAATGTGTAGGTGGGAAGAATCCCAAACGTAAAGAGACCGATCTGAAACAAAAGTGTACAAGTGACTACTTGAGGTCAAGTCCATTGGTATGTTACACAAAAAAAGAAAAGGGAAAAAAACCCTGCTGAAATAATTGTGATGGATAAGGGAAAACATTCTAACATAGTCTAAAAAGAGGGAGGGGGACACTGCCAGTTAATAATTAATGCCTACGTAATATTTTTCATAAAATATTCTGATACTATTAACCTCAGTTTTGTGCAGTCATTGTGATAAATGAGCTTTGGAGATCAGCTGCCAAGACCAGCTGCTTTGCAGTCTAGCTGCTGATTAGCATTTTGAGTGAGGGAAATCTAATTGCAAAGCGCTTCACCTTTTTCCAATTTCTTTTTGCTTTTCCAAATCTGCTGCATTCAAGACAGGAGTGCAGTCCCTTTTGGTAAGGAGCAATTGAGAGATGCTAGAAAGATCATTATAGAAGCACTTTGTAACTACAATGTTCTTGTGTCTAATCATGTGTTACTTAAAGCTTCAGACAGCTTTCTGCTTTCTTTCTGCAGAATACCTCTTCTAACTCTACTCCAGTCATCCTGGCTGTAATTGCCTTGATGCTCCTCACTGCTGTCGCTGGAGTAGTCATCATTAAGAAATACGTCTGTGGGGGAAGGTGAGCCTCAGAGTGGAGAATGACAATAATAGAGCTGTAGGGGTGGCGGGGGAATGGAACAGAGATATTATGCCATCTTTGTTACAACACAGATGTGGAAGCAAGAGAACTGGAACTGAAATGCATTGGTAGCAATGTTATCCTTGTATGAGGAGAAACAAGACACGTGTTCCTATAAACTGAGCATTAGTGATGCTGCTAAACACTTTCTTTTTTCTTTTGTCTCCAAAGAAGTCATTGATTTTGTTTGTTTCCAGAATTGGGATTAGTGATTGAACGAAAGCAGTGGGGAAAAGGTAGCCCCGGGCCCTTTGAGCCGCCTGATTGTTCCAGATATCAGGCTGTGCCGCTGTGAATAATCTAGAAAAATCTGCTTTTAGATTTAGATCAACATGAAATGGGCGCGGCATTGAGCATCATGATCAGCTGGAGGGGGAAGGGGAAAGAGAAATTTCTTTTTTTCTTTTTAAAGTTGAAAGGCTTGCATAGGCAAAATCAGAGCAGTGACAACATTCACTTATGTTTGCCTGGGCAATCCCATAAGAGGTTCACCCAGAGCAAGAATAAAGCTCAGATCAGATTTGGCCATCTGTCAGAATCATTCACCAATCACTGAAACATTTGATTTGTTGTCTAGTTGTATATTGGATGGAGACAGAGGATTGCTTATCATTTAGGGAGAACTTGGTATCACAGATTTAGAGAACCACTGATACAATGAGAATCACTGATTATTTCCAGTCTTGGTAACTTCTCTGACCACTGTTCCAGTTTCTATAATTTTGAAGGTTCCTTCCACTTTTTATAGCTTAAAATAGTTTACTGAAAAAAATGAGACCAGTAATAGCAGCCGATGTACTAAGACCTTCAAAAGATCTCTACTTTAACTTCTTAAAGGAGTCTGAACTGATATCACCAAATGTACAATAGTTCATTCATTGGTGTTTTTCACATTCCTAGATTTCTGGTTCATCGGTATTCTGTCCTGCAGCAACATGCAGAAGCGAATGGCTTTGAAGGACTTGACATACCTGGGGCCACTAAATCTGGTTACCATGACGATTCTGATGAGGCAAGTGACATGCATCTTCCTAGGTAGTATTGGCTAGATGAGAACCTGACAACTGTGAATTGTCTTTTTATATTGTTTTAGCACATGTCACTTTAAAAAGATAATCTGTTTTCTCAGGTAATGGGGATTCTAAGAGACTAGCTGGCTTTATATTTACCCCAGCCAGTTTGAGAAGAACTCTTAATTCAAAATGTTAATTAATTTATAATAATTTTTTTTCTTTCTCTTTCTGCCCAGGATTTGTTGGAGTAGCGATGTTCTCACTAGGACTGCACACTTCATGGGTTTGGCTGCTGCTGTAGAAGGGCATGATTGCCAACAGTCCATTTTACTTCCGATATCGATGCCTTTCCCTTTTCTGAGAGAGTCTATATTCCTTTTGCTTCTATCAAATGTCTAAAACCAACAGAGCTGCAAGAACTGCATTAGATTTTTTTTAAAGGGTGAGGTCAAGGTTCTCTAACTCTGTGGAATGAAGAAGGAAAGCTGTTTAATTTAAATATAGTTTTATTTTAATCAGATTTTTCCAGCTCTAAAGGGAGAACTAATAGGACTGTGAAATAAGGATTTCACTAAATATTAGCATTACTAGGTACAATGTACTATGCTGCTGGAAGAAACTCCCAAATCCCCAAATGGAAAACACATACTGCGCTCCAACACTGTGATAAAATTGCATTGAAGATCTTAAGCACGACAACACTCCTAGCAAACAGAGCAATGAGATGCTGGTCAGAGATTGTGGGTATTAACCAGCATCACAATGGGCTGTGTGCCAAAATGCATTTTATTTTTGTTTCATCTAAAATGTAATCGAATGGGTAGATGTGTACTGTGTAATGTAAGGATGACTCCAAGACTTGAACTAAGTCTGCAGCCCAATATCCTATGATTCCAAGGAACTGAACTGTGAAATTAGCATGTGTACTGCCATAAATTCAAAAACAAACTCCACCATTCTGGATGGGAAAGAGATGGTTTAAAAAAATAATAATCTAAAAATAAGCGGTACAGATCTGTTAGAAGTAAGAACTATTTAAATTGTTTAGGTACTAAATTAGATAGATTAGATCAGTTTCTTGAAGGAAACCTTTGTTACATGCTACAGCACTATGAAGGTTTCCGTATTTTCCTTTTCACTGTTTTCTTGAGAGCAATAGATTGGTGCTTGCCACTTCATCACCATTTTACTATTGTGGATTTATTGTGGAGCCCCTCTGTATCAATGCAGTTAAACTGTTGTAAAACCCTTGTGAAATCATATGCTTGATTTTCCTAAAGCAATAGAAATTGAATCTTCACAATATTTAATTCAAACTGTCTTGAAGTCTACTTAGAAACTGATCTACCAGAAAACCAGTTGAGCAGTTGAAAGCACTCCAGACCCCAAAAGACAGCTTTGAATTTTATGTGGGGAGACTTTTGCTTTCCCAATAGGGCGATTCTAATGCTTCCCTCCTGCAGTTTTCATCTGTGCTCTGGGAGGTTCTTTGATCCTCAAAATATATTTGGGGTGCAGGTTGGGATGGAAGGAGAGCAATATTTTCCAATACATTCAGCTACTGAGTGAATGTTTCAGTCAGTTGCTGAAACATATTTGGGTAAATTCAACTGTAACAATGGTGAGGTTTTTCCACTCATGGTGGAGAGAAGAGCTGCAGTGTACAGACAGTAATACATGGTTATTGAAGTTGACATTTGAGGTGTCCCCCCTCCCCCTAAATTTGGGGGAAACACTGGAGGAGGATTCTTCATTTAAAAAATATTTCAAGACTATTTTAGGGATTCCATTATAGATACCATGTGCTTGCTTCAAAATGTTAGAAAACTGTTTCCAGATTCAACTGTTGCATCCAGAGTGATAACTAAGCTGCAAAACACTGAGCAATGTTGCTCACCTCATTGATAAAACAAATGGAATCCTTTTATTTGCACTCCAAAGGAATGTTCATAAACATTAACCTTGGTTTTTGATGGTTTTTATTCTTCCTTTCGTTAAAGGATCACACCCATAAGAAGATACTCTTGTTTCAGATATATAAATTCAGTTTCTTTAAAAATAAAGAATTGTGACTGACTTTTCCTCATTTGAGAGTTGGGCTTGGAAGGTAGAACTTTTTTAAAAAATGGAAAAGAACCTGTTCTTTTAAGGTCAGTTCTAAATCCGGATCTCAGGGTGTTTTGCATGATGATGTTCATCCCATCTATTCCCTTCTTTCAGTCTTACCTGGAAAAGGATCCAACCAGCAAAAAATACCCATTCAAGGTTCATGCATGAGATTCCTCTTCTTCTCTACTGCCATCCTACCGATCTGGCACTTGAGATATACTTCGAAAGATTATGATACTTGAGATGCTGCTATCATAGCATTGGAAATCATAGTTGTTGGGTGGGGGAGTATGCAAAGACTCTGGGCTGACTAAAAATGGAGGAAATTGAGCTTATATTGCACTAAATTGGGCAACAAATATCACAAATTTTATATGTTACACAATCTCATCCCGATCTAACATACACATTCCTATTTGAAAATTACCACTTTCTGCATTCTTTGGTGATTGTTTAATATTTATCTCATCATTCATCTTCATTTTCATTTGGACTTAGAATAACTATTCTAATTTCACTTCATCTTGATGTAGTCCCTAAGGGTAAGCTTGATCTGTTGGAGATGCAGTTAGCTTGTTACTGGTGACTTGCATCAAATCAAGTTAGGATTTGTTAGCTGTTCAAAAGCTAGCTGGTACTTCAAGATAGAGCAGGCTACTAAAGTTATAATGCTTTCCAACTCTCCTTTGATAGCAATAAAATGAGAGTGAGAAGCCCGAAGGCAAGCGGTTGTCTTGAATTTGTCCCCCATCCCTCTCAATTCTTACTGTGGCCTTACTGTGGTTTCTGATCCTTTTTCTTCCTTTGTACCATTGCATAATATAATTGAGCCCAGAGTACTGTAGTAATCTTTCCAGATTGTTGATCCCTGATGAAAAAAATGAATGCACCAACAGGAATACTCATAAGACAAGCAAAATGGCAGGAAGAAATGTTCCTGGAAGACCTGTTCCTCATAAAAATCCCACAAGTTATTTTTTGCTTACAATATTGGATAGTACACAAGCACACCTGATATATCAGGTATGTAACTTGTACAGTGCAATGATGTTGCTTAAAGCTCATGATTACCAGTTCTTGAAATAAAAGATAATTAGTCCTTTATTACACTCTAAAACTATTTAAACATACTTGTGCAGAACCTCCCCTGTGTAGAATTAAATTGCTCCACTAAATTGGATGTGATGACTGAAATCTGGTATTGGAAATGTAGGAGAAAATCTGTCATAGATCTTCCCAAGCACAATGTATATGTAATAAGTGACTACTTCCTCTTTCTAGTATATCTCAATTTTCCCTGTATATGAAGCTGTCTCAGAGGTTTAGAAATCTTGTTATTGGTATTTATCTCTCTCAGGCCTGGGACCTCTTCCTTTGCCTCATTTCTGTTAGCCTTTTCTTCTCAAGATAGAGTACATTGACGTGAGAACATTCCAATAAACTGAAATCTGCCCAGTAAATCAGGGGCTTACGACTGCTACACATCTGTGCTGGGCAGTGGTAGTCTTCCTCCCATAGTGTTGAATATGTAGATAATGTGACATATTTCTCACTGTTTTGTAAATGTTGCCCAAGCAACATAGCAACCATGGCAGTGTTGCCATTGCATGCGCTTTGAAGCATAATTGTCTTCCTAATGTGCCTGCAAGGCAGACCGTTCTCGTTCCATACCATCTGTGGGATGGCTACGGAATGCTGTGTAGCCAAAAGCCATTGTTAATAGCACTCCTCTATACAGAAATTTCCTAAGATGTACAGTCTGAGGCAACATGCAAAAGATAACACAAAGGAGCCATGTATAGAGTTTTGTAAATATGCCTGGCTATATTATAAATTTGTACTGGTATTTTTCTGTATATTTGCAATATTTGGGTTAGAATTAATAAATGGGCTTTTATTTGGAGTTTATGTTGTCTACCTTTACTCTTTGAGTATCAAAGCTCTTATAGGATTATGTTTATAATTAAGCATTACTTAGCATGTGTTTTCAGACTTCCTGCACAATATTCTGGTTTTGTATAAATGAAAGAGGTCTAGTTTCTATCCCTGGTTTGCCTTCACAATTGACTGCTTCTTACTCTCTTAACCATTGTGCTCTTCTATATAGTAACTTGACCAGTTCTTTGATTTCCCCTGTGAATAGTCTGCAAGACCTCTCTATTAGAAAGGTTAGGTCTCTTCCTTTTGTTTCATGGAAGAAGCTCAAGGCCTTTTTTTCTGAAAAATTATGCTTCAAGTTAAACAGGTCATGAATAAGAATGAATGGAAGAGCACTGGGGCATCTGTCATGACACTCTGAGTTCCACAAAGTTTGTATTGTTATCAATCAAGAAATTGCCAATTCTTTAATACAATATTTTTCAACCTCAGCAATGTTAAGATGTATGGACTTCAGTTCCCCAGCCTGGAAAGGGACAACTTGGAAGTGGGACAACCCACCCCAGGATAATTCAACAAATACAAAAGTTAAATTCATTTCAACGGGTTGTTCTGTGGTGAGTTGGGGCAGTGAGTTGTCTCTTTCCAGGCTTCCATTCTGGGAGCGGAAAGTTGAAGTTGAGCAACAGTTTCACTTTTCTTGCTGTTCAGATCTTAATACGCATAAAGTTCATTCCAAGTTGATTAAATGCAGAATGATATTTTAAGAGCAAGCGACACGGTTTGAGACTCTTAAATAGAGATGAGAGGAGAGTGCTATTTTCAGGCTTTCAAAAAAAAATGTTTCAGAATGTATGTATATATATAGCTTGGGCAAGTGATGGAACCATTCTTACCACACTGATTAACAGGCTAGAAGTGGATTAAGCGAGCATTAAAATCTGATGGTTTGGATGGAACAGTAACTTTTAATTTTCTTTGAATATTTTAAAGCGTAATGGTCCTGTAATTTCAATCTTTGGATTGAAATTTCTATTCTCTCCTTCCCAATAGAAAGCTGCAGTTTCATCAGAGTTTCCCTTTCACATCCTTGTTTGCTCATCTTGCTAATATGGTAGATAGGGCTTTTATTTCCAATACATTTCATATCTAGATTTATTCTTTATTTTGCCACTCCAAACTGAATTGGGGATACCACAAAAGGCTTGTAAGGGCCTTCTAGTTCAAATACATTCACATTAAAACCCTGCAAAATGGAATTACTGTTAGTTGGCGATGGATTTGGCTCTATTTCATCTCTGATCTTAGCTCTTGAGAATGTTGCATCCTTATGGAGCAAGTGTGTGATTTGGGAGTTCTCTTGGATTCATGGGTTTTGCTAGAGCAACAGGTGGATATCACAAAAATTGTGCTAATTATGGGCCACCTTGGATCAGGATGTCAGGACAACAGTGGCTCCTATTCACATATACACTGCTGTAACATCCTCTGCATAGTGTTCTTTTGAAGATGACTTGGAAACTTCAGTGGGTCCAAAATACACGTGGTTTCGGTTACTTATGGGTAACAGATTTAATAATGTTGCAAACACTGCATTGGCTTGCATCCAGATATTCACAGGTCCATTTCTGCTGCACATTCAGATGTCCTTCTGCAATCTTTAAGAAAAAAAATGCCCACCCATAGGTGATAAAGGTAGTGGCATGGCAACATAATTTTGTGACTTCCCTTGCCCTTTAAAACACCTGGCTATTCAAGGTAAAAGCACTTCTGGACTTTTTAGGAAGCCTGTAAACATTCCATCAAGATTACTCGGACTTCCTAATTTTTTCTGATTACTATGTTGTTTTTATTGATTATTTTTGTAGCAAGTCACCTAGCGTCACATATGTGAGATAGGCAGCTATATGGATGAAATAAAAATGAATCAAAACTACCTCAAATCCTTGTGAACTTTGTCATCTATACATCACTGTACAAATAAACTAGTTTAATTATACAAATAAATTATAAATGCTTGTGGACCCAAGTACAAATATTTTCAATATTTGCTTTTGGGTGGTATCTAGTCGCAGAATTTTTTAGGTTACAAAATCACTATATGATGATTCAGAACTGTTGATCCAAGTGATTAGCTGAATGGAACAAATTATACTGGAATTTTGGAACAAATGATAACATTCGATATTTCATCTATTCTTGACAGAAGCTGTCTGCCTTGGATCTGATCTAAGTGGAATAAAGGAATAGCACTTTCTCAGTGAAATTGTGCAATTATCTTTTCACCCCTCCTCAAAAAAGCTTTACAGTACTTGCCATTTCAATCAAAATAAATTCAAGGAGTTCCAGCACATTAATTCAACTCTCCTTCAAATGTGTTGTCTTTTATCATCACCACTAAATGCTGAAATTATTCTTGCTTCTCTCAGTAAAATGGTACTACCCTTTGTGAAGTGTTGTAGTGAGTTTTGGGGACCTACTGATGAAGACATGAGGATGTATTTCCACGATGCCTTTTTTGTTATTAAAATGTCAAAACTTAAAAAAAAAAATCAAGTCCACATCAGTACTTCTCATTAGTGACAACTCTAAAATGTTTGTGGAAAAATCTGAATCCTGGAGTCATTACAAACAATGGAGGAGATGGATCTTTTGAATTTAGGAATATTATTCTCCCTCAAAACACCAGCATCTTTGGCTGTTTCCTAGTCAGGATGAATGATATTGTTTATAGGATGCTAAGTTGCATGGTAAACAATTATATCAGTGGCTCAAGTCGTTTTGCCTTTCTTAAAATCTACAGCAGTCAGTAGTGCTCCCATAGTGATGTACTTCTTAAAAATCAGTGTTAATGCTCAGAGCTCAGCCTCTTATCCAGTCAGAACGCTACTGAGGTTTTGTTTTATGGGTTTTTTTCCTGAACAGCTTTAAGGCCCTAGGAAAGAACTCTAAATTTCATACCTTCATTAGCTGCTGGATGCTTGTAGTCCATCAAGATACAACTTTTCTTTGTCCCACAACTGCCTTTCTGCAGTTATTTTCCACCTGAGAGTTTTAATTGCAGCACTTAACTTGTGCCACTCCTGAATGCTGCTTCCTTTGTCCTTCCCTGCAACCCTTTTGTTCAGCAATGCATTTGTGAAAGAGATTATTCCATTTCCCCCCCTGAAATTGGTGCACGGATCTTCTATCTCTCATACACAATGGGCATCAAGCAGGAAGGCAGGCTGGATCGGGAAAGATCTGCTTAATGTGTTTAGATTTGTGCAGAACATGCATTCTGCACACACACACACACAAATACGAAGCAGTAAAGACGATATGGCAGAAAAATTGGAGATTCAGTATCATATATACACTCTTGATAACTATTGAAATGTTTAAAAAGATATGGGGGAAAATGGAATGAACTATGAAGATCAGACATTAAGGTACCCTACATTTAGCTACATTGTTATAAGTAACATGCCTGGAATTCAAAGGAAAGCAAGATAAATAGCAAGGATAGCTTCTTATTTCTAAGCCTAATTCTGCAAGATGACAAAAGGCATGGAATGTTCAAGGATAAAATGTTCTTGAGATTTAATGGTGAATATTTCAAACCAACAATGGTTGCCCATATTAAAGAAATGAAATGGCTAAGTTTTTATTTAGAGTTCAGATTATATGTCTACACCTGTATTCTCCAAATGCATCCTTTTGGTTTCCTGATATCGGCCTCTAGTTTTTAGAGAAGAAGTACATTTTCCTGATTTTAAAAATCAGTATTAGACAAAAGCAAGAATGTACAAAGCTTGATGTGAAAATAATTTATTTCACTAATGCTAAAGCAATTTTTGATACAAGCAAAATAAAGAAGCAGGTCCCAAAGTGATATCCTACATAATTAGAGTGATATCTAATAACAGTTGAAAACAGCAGATCGCTAAATGTCAGATGCAAACCCGTTGTATGATTTTTATTGCCTACACAGGACTTTTACTGTATTGATGAGATATGTGACTTTACAAGCTAAAAACTACACTCCCGCGTAAATAGCATTTTATTGGAATACACAATTGTTAAAACTTATATTAACCTTTGGGTCATTAAATAACAAATATGAGAGAGAATACATACCACGAGACTACTTACACAGAGGTGAACTAGGTACCTCATCCCTTTCTTGGACATCATTAAATAGCACCAAGTTGTCTATAGTGTCCTTGTCAAGCAAGATCCTTTGAAGTAGGACCCACGCTATTACTGGAGGCGGTAACGGCAATAGCAAACTAACACAACTCTATTGAGTTTTGAATCATCAAGGACTATCAGCTTAGAAAAAATGACTCGTTGGTTGGAAAACCAATTCCAATTTCCAGATGATGAAATGCATGGATGAATCTCTAAATGAGCTGCCTGCTTCTGCAAATGATGGTTGCTGCTGACAGGTAAGTTTTCCTTGGTAATAATTGTCAGCATTCCCATCTGGCAGTGTGCATGTGGGTGGTGCACCTTTCGTGGTTTGAAAATAATATAAATAGAGGTACTGAAATGTGAAGGCAACTCATGAAGAAACAATGCAGCTTAACATTGTCCATCCCTTGGCTTTCTTCTAGTGGTACCTAGTCCAGGCACCAGCAGTGAGGTAGGAGCTCTTGTTTGAAAAGACCAGGAAACAGAGTTACTCATTTTCAGGTTAATGCCAATAGGATGGGTGAACATAGGTTTTTTTTGCTAAGAATGTGATGCATTAGAATTAAAAAGTGGCAGAAGTTGTAGAAACAAGTTTAAAATAGTTGTCATGTTGTCCATATTGGACTACCTCATATTACAAACAATGCATTTCTCAATAGAAAAAGTATAGATGCCACACATGATGGTCTATTGTCTGCTATAAATAATGTTATACTCCACATACATTTGGTGGGCTCAGGGCTCTGAATCTAGTATGGTGGAATTGACTTCTTGTTCCCTGATGGCAGATATAAAAAATGACACAAGATGCAATTTAAGAATGATACAAGAATAACATTTAAGTACCAT